GCGAAGGCGTACGAAAGGGAGACTGGACAGGTGCTACCGGAAGGATGCCCATACCGGTATATTGTTTGTATGTGTGCATGGGAGGCGCAGCAATGTTAGCGGAAAGCGGTAAGTGCATTGCAATTGCCTCATGATAAGATTACTATAGGTACCGATGGTACAATTGCCTTGCGCGTCTTTCTGTTATGTATAAGGGCGAATGTTACGAAATTGGGTATGCGTATCTGTGGCATTCGCACAGCTTTCAAGTTGGGAAGCCTTGGCTGTATGCGTGTAATCGGAGGCTAACAGAAGATCAGGAGAGGCTGGTGCTTAACTTAATGAGAACCTTTCGTCGTACCCAGGAGATGCGTGCCTTTGTGCGGCAGCAGTATGACATTCGTTTAACAAGGAGGGATTTGTATGTCATGCAGCGGCGTCATCGTAAGGCCTGTATCACTGAGGTGGAGGAGGTGACTCAACTGTTGCAAATAAATGGTGAGGTGAAAATTCTGCATAAGGGTAATCAGATTCGTTACCTATTTTTCGTACCTTCGCGCATGCTTGCATTGGTGGGCCAATACGGCGAAGTAATTTTGGCGGACTCCACGTATCAGATCAATTACGGAGGCTTCATCCTGTGGCATTGTATGTTTGTGGACGTCAGCGGCCTCGGTATGAGTTTCTTTTATGCCCTGTTGCCTAATGAGACGGAGGTAGCTTACGAGGAGGCAGTGAGAGGTATGTTGGAATTGGCCCCCGCGGTTGTCGGTGCTCGGACTTTGGTGATGGCCAAGTGCACCGCGCAAGTGAATGCGTTCCGTAATGCGTACCCAAATGCGAACATTGTTTTCTGCCGGGTACACATTATGCGTGACATGCGGCGGCGTTGCTCACACCTTCCGCTGTGTAACGCTGAAGATAAAAGAGCTCTATTCAGCATGCTGCGGTCATTGTTGTACACGTACGACTGCGCTCATTACCATCGGATTATGGAAGCGATATCTCTGCGGAGCGCAGAATGCTTCCAATACCTGCGTCGTACATGGATTCCATGGCGGCTTAGCTGGGCGGCGCATCTGATGAGCCATGTAGTTTTATTTGGATGCGACAGCACCAATCGCATTGAAAATGAGAATAAGCATCTGAAACAAACTTTGAGTGAACGGTCAACCCTACTTCACCTGTTTCAGGTGATAGTGCGGCGTGCCAGTAGCATGATTGAGGAGAGGGACACACTGCTGGCCAGAGATCAACTTGGTGTATGCGACGTTCAGCACGTCGCAAGAGCTGCGGGTGTAAGTGAGGGTACCGCGGACGATGGTGTTTCCGATTTCACTTGACAGCTGTACATTAACTTCCGAATGGAAGGATGCTGTCATATGTCCTACCTTCAAACATGAGGACATGACGCTGTAAGCCAAGTATAGGCCAGTTAGTCTGACCAGCGTCGTGGTCAAACTGTTTGGGAAGCTGGTATGAGATTCCTTGGAAGGTCACTTCAATAGATGTCATGTTCTCAGTATTGCACAACATGGATTCCGGAAAGGGTTTTTGTGATTGACGATTATCAATGATCTACCAAGTATGCTACAAACGGACTGTCTGATCTATGCAGACGATCTCAAGCTATGGTCGGAAGTGTCCAGCCTCGAAGACGCCGACCAATTACAAGAAACGCTTGATCTACTACACTCTTGGTCTATCAAGTGGGGTTTGCCGGTCAACAAAGATAAATGCTCAGTCCTTTCTATAGGTGCTGCTGAACCACTGGGCATCTATCACATTGGCGGGCACCTACTCACGATTGCCACACAGGAAAACGACCTGGGGACAATAATCTCCTCTTATCTCAAAACGACCCTTGACACGTTAAAGATAACTGCTGCGGCGAACAGAATGTGGGGCGCCATAACGAGATCATTCTCTAAAATGACGCCGCAGATATTTAGACTTCTCTTCACCTCCCATATCCGTCCCATTCTTGAATTCGGACATCCGGCCATAGCCCCTCTATGTAAACATGAAAGTGACAAGATAGAAAAATTCAGCGACGAGCCTCGAAATTTGTCCTTGGGCTACGCAACCTCCCGTACCCCACCCCCCTACAGAGGATGAACCTTTTTATCTTAGACTATCGCCGACGTCGCGGAGACCTCATCTATACCAGGCGCATCCTACGAGGAGAATTGGGAAACGAGCTAAGGCAGTTCTTTCAGCTAAGACTTGGCAGCTCGACTCTCGGTCACAGCTGGAATCTTTTTAAACCGAGAAGGCTCAAAGTCCGCTCAGATGTTGCTCTCTCTACTCTAGTGATTAATGATTGAAACGGACTGCCGGACCCGATTGTCAGTACCCATTACCAGTACTAGAGGATATCTTTGCAAAGTTGAATGGTGGTAAGTACTTTGTTAAGCTTGATCTATCCGATGCTTATCTGCAAGTGGATGTTGACGAAGTCTCGAGGGAATTGTTGACGATCAACACTCATCGTGGGCTATTCCAATACAACCGTTTGCCATTTGGTGGGAAAACGGCGCCAGCCATCTTCCAACAGTTGATGGACACCATGCTAGCGGGCGTTTCTGGAACCGCTGCATACCTGGATGATATCATAGTGATGGGCCGAACACCGGAAGAGCTGTTTAACCGCCTGGATGAAGTGCTTGGTTGCATACAGGCGTACGGTTTCCGGATCCGTGAGGATAAATGCACATTTTTCACACCGAGCATCAAATACCTCGGTTTTATCCTCGAAAAGGACGGACGTCGACCAGATCCAGAAAAAATAGAAGCCATTAGAAGGATGCCTCCTCCAACAGATCTACAGTCCTTGCGTTCCTTTTGTGGGCTCATCAGCCACTACAGCGCATTCTTGCCTGAGATGTACCGCCTGCGTGCCCCGTTAAACAAGCTACTAGCCAAAGGCCAAAGATTGAACTGGACATCAGAATGCCAGAATTCGTTCTAACGGATCAAGTCACTGCTGTCCTCAAACTTGCTGTTGACTCATTTTGATCCCTCCGAAGAGATTGTCTTGGCAACAGATGCATCAAGCCATGGGATTGGCGCAGTAACATCACACACCTACGCCGATGGATCTCAGAAGGCAATCGCCCATGCCGCCAGAACACTTACGAAGGCCGAGAAAAATTACAGCCAGATTGAAAAAGAAGCATTGGCCATAGTGTGCGCGGTCAAGAAATTCCACAAAATGTTATACGGCCGCCGATTCAAGCTTCTGACAGATAACAAGGCCCTGCTGGCTATCTTTGGTTCAAAAAAGGGCATTCCGGCCTACATAGCCAACCGGCTACAACGTTGGGCCCTTACCTTAATGGGATGATTTCGAGATCCAATATCAGTCGACAGTTTCCATTGGCCAAGCAGATGCACTGTCACGCCTAACTGATGCTCGCCAGCAAGAACATCAGAACATAATCATTGCCTCGGTCGAGATTGAACCTGACGTCAACTTTCTAGTAACTGATGCATTGCACGGTCCACCAGTTACCGCAGCTGTTAAAACCTAAACGCTTCGGGACCCAATACTCAAGAAGGTTACACAGTTCCACAAAACAAGTTGGCCACGTTCATGTCCATCTGCCGAGTTGCAACACTACTTTCAGAGGAGACACTCGCCCTCTATTGTAAACGACTGCATACTGTTCTCGGAAAGAGTGGTCATCCACAAGGCACTTAAGAGCGTCTTATTCGGCAGTTTCATGCCGGGCATCCTGGAATCCACCGGATGAAGGCGCCTGCCCGCAGTTATGTATACTGGCCCTTCATGGACAAACAGCTAGAAGAAAAAGCCAAACGCTACCAAAAGTGTGCCAATGTCTTGAAAGCGCCACAAAAATCAGTACTCTATTCATGGCCAAAAGTTACTAAGCCATGGTGCCGCATCCATGTCGACTTCGCAAGACCGATCAACGGCAGATTCTTTCTCATTAAAATCGATTCATGCAGCTAGTGGCCTGAAGTATTTCTTATGGAGAACACAACCACCAATGCCACCATATCGAAACTGCGCCAAACCTTTAGCAGATTCGGCTGTCCTGAGCACATTGTCACTGACAATGGCTCACAATTTACTTCAGCAACGTTTACGGAGTTTTGCAAGCAATGCGCCGTACAGCACGTTCGCTCGCCGCCGTTTCACCCACAGTCGAATGGCCAGGCAGAAAGGCTTGTCGATACATTCAAACGAGCTCTCCACAAGTCAACAGGGGAGGGACGTATAGAGGAGATGGTTGACCGGTTCCTTTTCCTCTACCGATCAACACCAAATCCACAAGCGCCAGACGGAGTCTCTCCAGCGCAGGCCATGATGAACCTGAGGCTCCGCATGCCTTTCGACGCCATCCGACCGTGCTCCGAGTCTTCTGTTGATGAAAGAAACCGCAGAATGGAACAGGCTTTTAACCGGCGGCATGGAGCAAAGAAGCGATCTCGTACGCTTGGACAGAAGGTGCTAGTACGTGACTACCGGGAAGGCCTGCAAAATGGACGCCAGGGACGGACAAAAACAAGCGCGGAAACGTCATGCATGACGTGATGGTGGGCGTACAGATCTAGCCACGGCATGCAAACCAGTTAGGCCCACATTGTGCCAATCAGAAAAAGCAAGGCTTACTGACCTCCCGTTCGATTTACTGGTGGAAAGCTTCGACCTGCCGAAGGTAGCAGTGGACGACTGCACACAGTCGAGCAAAGAATGCAGAACGAGAACATCTAAACAAGGTTCTCGGGCGCTTCTGCCAAGGAAGTGGACTGACAGGCAGAGAACACCGTCTCGAAGACTGCAAGTTAATAAAACTTCGTCTTATACCTCGGACGATATCTCAGGAGGGGAGGTGTCCGGGTGAAGTAAGAATTGCCTTGGAAATCCACTATTTTAGCGATTAATCGACTATTAACCATTATCGCATCGATTTCGAGTGTTCCGGAATGTTCTACTTCTGCACGTGATTAAAAACCACCTGACACCTCGGCAAAAGTTATGGGGAACCACTAACCTTGGCAACTAACCTTACAATTCTAGAATTCGAAGATCAGTAGAGACCTACAAATACATCCAAGGTCCGCAGTATTTGTAGTGTTCGTTGGCGGCGATTAATACATTATTTTGTTAAGGTCATTGGCGTGTGGCTTTTTACTTCGGTTGAGCTAGAAGTTTTGTGGAGCAGTGAATTGTTATTTTTGGAGTTGCGTCTAGTGAGAAGATTCACAATTACTAACAGCATCAGCGTGTTTAAGAATGTTATGGCGTCAGACGTCAGTCACATCATTGGAACATTGGAACATTGTATTTAATGGGAATAAAAGTTGGAGCTTTACATGACCCATAGGGTAAAAAGAGTATGGGTCGGGTTTAATGAAAGGCCAAGCAACCTTATAGCGGGTTGGACTCGCGTGTTAGCCGTATCTTCATCGGGCTTATGTGGCATTTAAACAGAATGCACGCCGGCTCAAAGCGAGACATCCCACCACGCCCTCCGAAACGGCTTAGGAAAGGAAGGTGGAAGAGAAAAAAAGAAAGAAATTCCATCCAGTAGAATGTAGTTAAATTAGGGAATATTGCGGTGTAGCTCGGCCAGGTGACAGTCCAAGCGTGCCTTAAAGTCCGCCACAGTGGGGGCGAATTTTCGAGTCGCCAGGTATCAAACCAAGCAGTCAGCAAGTGCGCCAGACGCACAGTTGAAATTGCTTGGTGATGTGTAAACTTTCGCTTATTACTCGTTTTAAATAATGTTCACATTTCATACCTAATCGCTTGCTGGATAAAGCCTAATCTCTCAAAATCTTATATTCTTTTCACTCTTTGTGCTCCTAATCATTCAATTCTAGTACTAGTTATTCAGCAAGCAATGGACCAAATGCTCCGGCCAGAACGTTCCTATGCAAATCGCAGGGACACGAACTCGGCGAAACCGTGGACTCACTGGTTTGATACGTTTACTTACTTCTTGGGCACAATCCACTCACTACCGTTCAGTTAGTTGAGGATTCTGGCGAGCTACGTGTCCCCTTATGTATACGACTACATTAAAGAGTACACAACCCGCGAACTCGACATCGAAACGCTCGGAACTATATACATCAAGTTCAAATTCAAGTGGGATCGGAACAGTACGAAATCCCGCGAATGTTCCACCTTCGAAAACTTCGTTGATCCAACAGGGAAACCGGTGACTTGATGTGCCAAAGGAGAGCCAAATCAACACACACGATTCACACGGTCAACCAACCAAAATCCACTTGCCCTGCACTAGCAGTCCCCGCTGTGCCGGCCACGTGAAGAATAAAAGAAAACAGTAGTGTCAGTAAACGAAAGGAAACAGAGAAGACAAGCTTGTCGAATATCGTAGGCAATATTAAGATGTAAGTTAAAATGAGTTAAAGAAGCGTAGACCGTAGTAGATGAAGAGAAGTTTAAGACATGAAGGGGAAGACTTTAAACTGCAGACCGAGAGGGTCAAGTCGATGCTCGAACTCTTTCACCGTCGGTGCCATCACGACGTCTGCAAGCAATGCGTTCCAATAAGCTATAACCCTACGCGATAACCGAAAAACTGCCCAAACCCGGTCAGACCGGGGTTTGTGCCGAAAAAAGAAATCGTTGCATGTCATGTTTTAGCTACTTGCGAACGAAACTCTGGACAACTTCATCTAGAAGCTGAAATCACTGGCCTAGTTCTGTAAAATCCAAAATGGCCAAGGCAGAAAAGGATCGAGAAGACGTCATTCAACATAGGTTTATAACTAGGCTACACTCTCAAGCTATTCGTCAACGTGTTACTCGACCTACCTTTCACTTCTGAACAAGCCAGCTCCCTCGAGGTAGATTAGCAACATTCACGGTTATAACGGTCAGAAAACGCTTACGTTGCATCTAACGTAGATCATTGCGAAACTTTGCAAGCGTTAAATGCCCCAGTAGTAAGAGAAAATAATGTCGCCGCCACTGTATCGACTAGCAAGTGTTTCTTCTGTGGGTTGAACAGACACTGTCAAGCACAGCGCCCTGTGCGTGAGGCCATTTGCAACCGCTGTTGGAAACAAGACATTACACAAGGTTTATCGCTCCGAATCAAAAAAGACTGCTTCGGTGATCCATGATTGCCTATCCTCTAGCATGTCGCAGCGGCGCCAGAAGGTCTGTTCCACGCCGTCTTCCATGTACTCAGCAACAACCTTCCTCAAAAAGCGTTGATTGATACTGGAAGTCCATCGCGACGAGACTGGGCCTTAATGTGTTGCAATGGTTTTAGATGCTTCAGTTATCCATCGAGCTAAGCCGTGGGTGCTTTTTTGCACCCTCAGAGTCCCTCATACCAGGCTGGTCAACGGTTAGAGGTCAGACAAACTCAGTATTCTGTCCCTCCAGGTTGGGGGTTAGAGTGAGGGTGGCTCCTGACTCCACAAAACGGACCTTCTGTAGTCCAGTGTCAAAAAGCCGCTGAATTTCGGTAAGGATTTGTAACCAATGGCTTTGGTTGAGAACCACAATCGTTCTCCTGTCTAGGCCTGGGCAACCTGACAGTATTCTGCCCCTGCAATACAATGAGGCTACTAACAACTGCTTGGTGCTCTGGCCGTCGCAGAGGATAATCAACGGCGCCCCATTCTTGGCCTTTCCCAACCTTGCTAAAATAGTCGCTTGCTTCTGGTTTCAACTTACACACAGTCACAGGGTCTGTAGCGCCCAAAAAGATAACTCTTATCTTTCGTGTACAATTTACTTGTTGACCGATTGTACATTACTCCTTCTTGTTTTAATCTTACAACCGGCTCGACGCACAACTGTCTTGTAAGTCCCCGCGCTCACGTGTACGCTCTTGCCTCGCTTCATCCGTCCGCTTATTGTTGTAGCCCCATCGAATACAGTCCGCTGTGTCCGACTCCAATTGCCTTCTGATATCCGCGCTTAATTCCGCGCATCGTCTCGGACTAGTATTGACTAGTCCTACAAATTGGTGACCCCGATTCGCACGCGCGAATTCAACATTTTTCTCGTTTGTATTTGTTGGTGAGTTCGTTCCTTTTTCTCGATTATATACCCATATTCATTTGTTTCTTGCGTAATTTTAGTACTTTATCGTATTTTGTTCGTTCTTTATCTTTCGACTCACATTTCGAGAGCGGCATCTGAGTCGTTTCACAGCGTAACCATGCTTACTTTTGGCTGTTCCAAGTTTCATGGAACACAGTCCAGAAGTTTGGTTTAAGATATTCGAGATCGAGCTAGAAAATAAGGGCATAACGGCGGACCGTCCAAGGTACAATCAGCTCGTCCCACGCCTTCCTCCGTCGGTAGTGACGCTGATTGAGGACATTCTACTCTGCCCATCGAATGAGGCAAAGTATGAAACGATGAAGCAAGCGATTTTGAAAGAGTTACGACCCAGCGCACGAACACGATTTGAGCAGCTCAGTGGTCTCAAGCTTGGAGATCGCAAGCCGTCGGCATTGCTCCGCGAACTTCAGCGCATCGCTGGTCCCTTATTCTTGAGCGAAGAAGGGATAAAGGAGCTGTGGTTTGCACGTCTCCCAGAGCCATTGCCGCTAATGCTGTCCATGTTTATAGATGCACCCTTGAAAGACTTAGCTACCAAGGCAGACGCTGCGTTCGAACGTTTTCCGCAGCAGACGACCAGTAACTCCGGTGACATATTCTCACCGATGAAAACCAAATCGGCAAGATGCGTGGCGATGGATGAGTTGGTTAGCTTTCGGCACCCAGTCGCAAGCCAGGCCGGATGGTGTTCTCTCACCCTGTCAGACAAGCGCCTCGTCGTACGGCCAATATACCCTGAACCACAAGAAAACCAAATCACATGTTTGTTCCCAGTCTCGCTCTAATACAGTCGACAGGTCCATGTTCAACCAAGCGGATGATGTCAGTACATCCGTTTCCTTATGGAGCCCTAGCGTCTCGCGAAGACTGGCAGAATTTAACGTGCGCAATTTGCTAAAGGTAGGCTGACAGGAAGCAGTTGCCTGCACACTACCGTTAGTCTGATGAAAGAAGGCCGATTAGCGTTCATTTAAATACCGTGGCCCTATTATGGTTAATGCCGGTCATTTAAGGTTGTTGTCCCCAACATCCAATCGCCATCCAAAGTTTATCGAAATTCACAACATGCTATTGCGCGTGCAGAGAAATGAATTTCTCTCTCACCTCAGTGGTGCGGACGTATGGAATTCGCGGCAGACGACTGATCTAGTGCAAGGCTCAGCTGAGAAAAAGCAAACCACAAAAAACACCGATTTGAGGCTGTTGATCATCTAGCGAGATGAAAACAGACTGAAAAAACATGTTTGCAGAGTTCGTTGGAGGTCAGCTAACCGCGCTGTGTACTAAAGGTCGTGGCCAACCGCTAAAGTTGAAGAGATCGATGGCTCTCTCTGCGCGTTTGGTTAGCTACGCAGCGCAGTCCGCCTTAGCAAAAA